ATCCTGGATAATGCACCAGCGGTGAGCAGCCCGGGGGGTGGCCCCACGTGCCTGCCTGCTGGCCTTCACGGCTGCCACCAAGGGCTGCCGAACAGGCAGTGCCGGCAGGCTGTGGGGATGCGTGTGGGCACCCACCACCACCCTGCCCAGCATCACCACCTTGGCTCCATCCCGCTGCCTGCTTGGGTGTTCAGCTTCCTGCCTGCCTGCCCTGCCCCCCCTCCCGCAGGCGTGACCGTGGACATGGAGGAGCGCTTCTGTGAGCTGGTCAAGCAGCTGGGGTGCACCTGCATCACCATCAGGTGGGTGGGCGGGCGTGCAGGCAGGCAGGCAGGCGCGTCACACGGGGGGCAGCACAGCGCAGCGCAGCGGCGCCAGGAGCCCGTCGCTCGCCCGCTGACAGCAGCTGTGCCCCTGCTCACCCTGCACGCGCTGCCTTGCTTCGCTCCCGCCGCGCCCTGCACCCACGCAGCCACCGCCCCGCCCTCATGGCCTTCCACGACATTGTGCTGTCGCTGGATGGCGAGGGAGGGTGGAGCCTGCACCAGGGCCACCGCTCGCTGGAGGCCAAGGCGGAGGCGGCGGCCCGGCAAGCCGGCGGCGGCGCCTCCGAGATCGATGCGGGCTTCACGGTGCCGCCGCCGCCGCGCCCCGCCTCTGCGGGAGGCAATGGCAAGGGCAAGGGCAAAGGCAAGGGCAAGGCGAGGGGCACGGATGCGGCGGCGGTGCTCAGCGGCATGGCGGTGGGCAAGGCGGAGGAGGAGGAGATGCTGGGGGACGGCAACGAGGGCTTCTCGGGTGGGGCAGGCGCAGGCGCCGGCGCAGCCTACGGCGGGGACGCCGGGGAGGCCGGGGAGGGGTGGGAGGCAGTGTGGGAGGGATGGCGGCGGGGCTGTGAGCAGCAGGCGAAGGAAACAGGCGCAGCAGGCTGTGCCTGCTGGGCTTGACCGCCCGCTCCCCTGCCTCCTTCTGCAGAGCTGGTGGTGGCTCGGGCGCCGGCCGCCACCGCCGCGGGCCGCCACGTGCACACCTGGGCGCCACGCCTGGGC